AACCTGACTCAACAGAAGAAAGTTTGGCGGTTCCACAGATTTGGATTTAAAACTTTAATACCGCAGACTCCTCTGTATATTGTCAAAAATCTCTGCAATCTATCTGGCGATGTCCAAGTGCAACAGGGCACGAATAATAAATAAGCACAAGTATTGCTGTTGCATAATATATAATAAATATGTTGTAGTTCGACGGCTCAGTTAATAAAACCTGTGTGTCACATTTTTTTTTAATCAGTTTTTTTTTTTTTTTGCTTTCCCGTGACCGCAGATCTTTCTTCATCACAATATATTTTTAATGTGAGAATCCGAATATAAACAACGTATTTACAGTCCGATCCTCACATCGAAAAAGAGATTATGGAACGGAGAAATATTTGAAGCCAGGGAAAAACAAAAAAGTCGATTTTCTGAAAAATGTGGTATAACAGGTTTCTTCAATTGAACCGTCGAGTTATAGACCAGGCACAGGCAAACTAGGGCATGCAAGCCAGATCTACCGTCTTATGACAGAAAAATGTATGTGCCAAAATGAAATTTTACTAGAAAGGCCAAAAAAATATTATTTTTGTGTATTTCCAACTCAACTAAAATTTGGTTGATTTAACTTTTTAATGTAAATTTTCATTGGTCGGTCTAACAGTTGTCTGATTTGCTGAGATATTCAATAAATAGTTATGGACTAATTGATTCAAATTTCCTTTGTCATTACAACAATATCAATTTGTAATTAGGTCATAACTCATTTTTTCAAAAGCCCAAAACTTCCTTAATTTTATTGTACAGCCATAAAATCAAGATAGAAAGATGCGCCATGAAATGGGTTTTTCCCCCCTGTATAAAAATGCTACTTGACCTAAGTACATATATATATATACTACATTTTTGGGGTTTTTTGTAATAAGACGGCAGAGATCCATCCCCTGACTTGTTTCTCTCCTGCCTGCAAGTTCACCCAATAATTTACAATGTAATAAAGAATGTGATCAGGGGTAAGTAGATAAATAATAAGAACAAAACTGACCATCTGGAAAATTTAAATCAATAGATTGCACCCCAGCTTGAAGCAATTAATAGATCATCCAATATTTTCTCTCATGAAATCCCCCGAGTTTGTCTCAATTTAGAGAGCTTGGATATTTTAACCAATTTAACACAATTTCCTCCTGCTTTGGCACGTGATATATCTCGACCCCTTGACTTAGACACATTTGCCCAAATATAATATAGTCATAGATCAATCAATATGTGAAACTATTTGTTGTATACATACATAAATCACGTATATCATAATATATCTCATAAATTTTGTACATGTAGCATGACTATATACTGGCACACACAACCTTCATCAAATAAAATCCTAGAAGCCGATCTGTAATACAGGGCAAATAAAAAAGAATAACAAAGAATGAACCGATTTTATGACTCACTGCTTCAGTTTTCAAGCATCGTTATGGAATGAGTCAGTGGCCATTTGAAACTGTAACAGGAGTTACCGATTACAGGACAAACCCATCTTGATATTAATGCTCCAAAACTGGCTCTTCACATCATTGCAAGCATATTTGCATGACTTCAATTTTCAACAAGACGGAGCACTGCCTCATAGGCAACTGATGGTTCGAGGTTGTTGTTTTTTTATGAAAAGAGTGCTCCAGCGATGGATTGGTCGGAAAGGGGCCCAAAAACTTGTTCTCAGTGCTTGTGTTCCCTCACTACCCACTAATCTTGCTGACCTTAATTTGAACATCAAATAACAAAAGAGATCAACTCAGTTGAACATGATAATTTATGATGAAACGCATCTGGGATGAATTCTCTTATACATGTCGTCTGTGGAGGCCACATTGAACATTTCGTAAGACAGGAAATTGAGTGTGAGTACAATACTTGACTCAGCTACAGTGTTCTATTGCTCTTCCTATTAAAATAGTGTGCAATGAAATTGGTTCTTTTAAAAAAACAATTACCCTATATTACTTACTCTTTTTCCCAAAAAATTGTAGTCGTCCCATATATAATATACCGGGTATATTTCATACAAATTTGCAGAGCACACTTAATCAATATATAATTTATGGTGCATAATACATCTCAGAAAATTTCACAAGAAAACAATAGACATGGACATCAAGTTAATGACAAAAGAAGATAACTGACACACAAAATGTACTTAAACGAGGTATGTCCCAGAAGTAATTTTTTTTCTTGCGTAAAATCAGCAACTTTTATTTTACACACATGAGATTTTGTACCTATATACAAAAACCTGTTTTCTATTTAACATACAAACCGTTGATCTAAATCTAAATGGATCTTTTAATCCAAAGTATCCAGCGGACAAATGCAGTAACCATGTCCACTTCGGCCAGAGTCTGTAACCCAATAGGCCCACACTTGTTACAAGCAAAATCTATTCCTCATCTTCAAACCACTGCTCCTTTCTTACTTCTTGGACTTGAAGGAAGAAATGAAAGCCACATCAAATAAAGGGACATATTTTTTTCAAATGAATCATTACAGGTGATAAAACACAGGTGCATTTGTGAGGATCAAAAAATGAAAAGACAATTAGCAGCATGGAGAAACTCGAGATCACAATGACACCAGAAAGCTCGATGCAATTAAGGAACTTTGAGAGTGATGATTATCATGTTTTTCAACCACAAAGGTGTGGTTTTGAACTGGCCGATTCCCGTAGGCAAAACAGCCAGTGCTGAGTATTACAAGATAGTTCTTCAAACAAAGCTAGACCAGCAATCAGAAGAAAGCGGCCAGGTCTACTTGAGAAAGGTGTTGTCTTCAAGCACGACAACATAAATTGCGCTCACAACACGAAGCTGCACCCAGGATTCTGGCTGAAGTAGACAAGGCCACTGCATTTGACTGCTAGCTACATCAGAGAAAAAAGTGTATTGAAATCAACGGTTGTTATGATGAATGGAAAAAAAACATGTTTCTGTAGGTATGTACAAAATGTTATGTCTCTAAAATAATAACTGTTGATTTCACAGACCAGGGAAACGTACTTCTGAGACAGACTTCCTACGTGGGGATAACTGATACCAAGATAACTGATACTTGATACATCAAGGCAACAGCAGAAGCAAAATATCACCATCTCATTTTTACAGTGTACACGAATGAACAGCGGATTTAAACAAATAAAAAAAATCACATTCAAGAGCAAAAGCCCACATGGCACTGATGTAAGATAACAGGTAAAAGTGGACATCTTGTGAAGAGCCAAAATGGAAAAAAATGTTTGATCACACAAAATGTAAAAAATGAAAGAACGTCAGCCAAGAGATTTGAGTAATGTTTTAGTTATTTTACAGCATTTGCAAAACAAATGGGTCATATAAAAGGCGAAAATCAGAGGATACAAAGAAAAGGAGGAGAGATAAGGACGATAGATGTTGGATAGGAAAGATGGAGCAAATCCCACCACAGCACTTGCCAACCACCCATGATCTTAATTTAAAAAATATTGAAAAAACTGGCACTGTTCAATAAACCAAAAGGTATGCCAGAATAATTTATTGTAAATTATGTCCTTCGTCTCCAGAGACAAAAATTAGACCACTTTGTTGGCAGGGCAAAACCGAGCTGAGATGGATGCAGTAACTCAAAAGTCATGATACGGAGACTATTTGTTTTTATTTTCCACGTGGGAACCCACCTCACGCCTTTGTATGAAACGGTAAACAGCCTATTTTTTACACGTGATGCCAGTGGGCACCAGTGATGTGGCGATCAGGCATTTCACCTAAACATGCAGAAGACATGAATTTATTGATTGTGCAAGGGGAAATAAATTAATTAAATCGAGTATTTGTTTCACAACTCTGTGGAATCAGACGCTCATCAATTTTGGGGCATGTAGAGTTATTGGTTTCATCTGAAAGCTTGTTCATTTGTCTTGCTTTCAATTTGAAAATTTACCCATCTATGTTAGATACAAGTCGAAATATTTAAGATTGAAGAAGGTAGGGGTCGCCTAGTGTCACAGGTAAAATTAGCCAGAAAATGGCGGCCAAAGTTTGATGACTCAAAGCTTGAGAGTCCTTGTAAACTGTAAATTTATTTACAGCATTTGTGTCTTTAGTCAACATTCTTAAAGAAAATCAACACTGAAATGTTTTTTTTACTTTGATATAAAATGTGCTGAGCCAACAAACAAAAATTTGACTAAAATTGCCAAACAGGCAAAAATATTTTGGTTACTACGATTTCATTATTTTATCTAGTTCCTCATTTCACCCCAATGCCTCACATTTGGTTCTTTCTACTCAGACGTTACATCACTCTCAAAGCCTATCAGGCAAGGCCGAAGAAGCAGACACCCTCTAAAATGCACTAAACCGTGTCCATGTGGTGGGAAAACTTGTATAGTTATTCATTCATATTACAGATGTCTTCGGTTTCATAGAATACATTGTAGAAATAAATAAGATGCAAGCTTTAAAAAAAATTGCACAGCTTGCATTACTTAGTATAAATAATGAAAACACAGCCACAAAAGATGTCTGGTTTCTACAAACAGCAAAATAACGGAAATGAGCTGCATACCAGTTTTATTCTCTTATTCATATTTAAAAACCATTTAGATTTTTATTTACAGACCAAAAAGTACTCTCGATTCTCCCTCTCTACTCTGCTTTTTCTATTACGATGATGATGATGACAATATCCGAAATGATAATGATGACTTTCAAGATGATGATTATAATGAAGATAATAAATTGTCGAAACACAATTTAAGTCTTCACTTTTTTTAAAGACTTTCCTACAATGATGATTGCCCTTCCAAGTTGAAATGGAGGTGCAAAGAATAACACCTAACATTAAAATGAATGTTGCAAGAGACGACTAGAGATGCAAAAAAGACCTGGTCTCTAGAAAAGAGCCAACGAATCGACCCTGTAAAAATTAAAAGAGTCACAGAAACACAAGCAAGCACATATAATTTTCCGATCTTGAAAGATTTTGTTATGTCCCCTAGTTTTTTTTTTACCCTAACCATTGAGTCAACATCTTTCTCACTCTCTCGGCAACATCAGCTCAGCCGTACAACATCAGCTCATCCATACAACATCAGCTCATCCGTACATCAGCTCATCCGTGCAACATCAGCGCATCCGTACAACATCAGCTCATTCGTACAACATCAGCTCATCCGTACAACATCAGCGCATCCGTACATCAGCTCATCCGTACAACATCAGCTCATCCGTACATCAGCTCATCCGTACAACATCAGCTCATCCGTACAACATCAGCTCATCCGTACAACATTAGCTCATCCGTACATCAGCTCATCCGTACAACATCAGCTCATCCGTACAACATCAGCTCATCCGCACAACATCAGCTCATCCGTACAACATCAGCTCATCCATACGCTACCTCAGAATTACAGAGTTCTGACACTTTGGGCCCTTCTGAGTTACTATGATCATAGGGTCAGACACCAAATGTTTTATCTGCTCTATCAAAATCATACGATTATTTGGAGTCATTATCAAGATATTCAAATAACTGATTTCAAAAAAAGCTAAACAAGTGAAACGTGAAACTCAACATTTTTTAACATCAAATTTCTTAAAACTTGACACTAACCAGATAGAACTTTGTAATTCTAAGGTAGCGCGAAGTCGACTGTGATACCATACAACTCTCTAGAATTAACAAATTTCTCCATAATGGTCTTTTCCTACTGTACAACAATGATGATACAGTGGGTGTCGCTTTCAACGAGATTGCCGGGACTGGCTTGTTGTCCTTGTTGGATCCAACCTCTCGTTGAACGTGACTAAGGCTAAAGAAAAGAAAGCACAAATTATTATATTATACGAAATACCAAAACCAGCAGATCTAATTAAAGAGTAGTTCCCCCTGATGACGAAAATCTAAAAACAGCATCAGTGTGCGCGTGTTTGAGCTGTGTTCTGACCGTCATTTCTGCATTTTAAAATATTTTTTACCAGAACACTTCTCGTGTGGAAACACCCTCTCACATCTAGGCCTAGATCTAGATACATAAAGTAAAGCCAGAAGCTTGGATTTTCTGATCAGGGGAAGAAAAGAAAATTGAAAAAATGAAGGTCTCGATCTCGATCTAGACCTACCCATCCAGAGTTCATCCAGTTTCAAGTTTCACACAGCCCGCATCGCGTTCCCACCCACCCCCTCCCATCCCTACCGTAGGCTAACCCTCGCCCATCCTCTTGGCTTTGGGGCCCATATTAGGAGGCACACTAGATCTGTCTAGCAATACAATGTGTTAGGAATCGAGGATGGGCCTTGTGTTTCGCGTGAGATGGAGAGAAAGGAGAAAATTCTTCGCTTTTGGGGCCGCTTATTGCTTTTGTTTGGTTATCGCGACCTCGTTGAAAGCGACTTCTGTCTGCAACCTCGTTGGAGCTGACATACATTTACAAAGAGATATAGAGGAAAAAAATTGGGGATTAAGGATTGCCTCCATGGAGCCGATGATGAACATGTTTTTAAAAAACATTCATTTATATTTTTTGACAGAACATCAATCAAGACTCTCCCTACCTATTCTGCTTTTTCAACAATGATGATGATGCTGATGATGGTGATGATGATGAAAAGAAAAATGTGTCACGATGTGGTAGATTCAGGCACTTGTCAATTTTTGAACATGTGGAGATATTAGTATCACCATAAAGCTTGACATTTGCTTTGCCTTCGATTAAAACGTACCCCTCTATCTTGAATAATAGTCGAAACATTTGCAATAACTTGAGGAGGGAGTCACTTAGTTTCAGAGGTGGAATTATCAAGAAAATGGCCACCAAAGCTTGAGAGTCCTAGGAAAGCGAAAAATGTACATTTTTTGTGCCTTTAATCGACGATTTTCTGTGAAATCAACACAAAATATTGTTTTTAAATGGCCGTTAAAGGTGTTGGATCAAAATAAATTCAATGCCAAACTGGAGGGAAAATGCCAGTTCCTTCATTTTCATTACTCTGACGAGCCCTTGATTTCACCGCAATGCCTCACAAATGTAGAAACATTATTCAAGTTCGTTTTGTTTTTGTTTTTTACACTCTTCTAAAATGATGACAATGAAGAAGATGATCATAATATAATAATGATGAAGATGACACCAATAAAATTAAGGTGACAATGAGGACAGCTGTACTAGAATCAACCACTTATCAATTAATTACTGTGCATTATCACCAGAAAGTTCCTGGGCAGGTTTGTCTGCTTCTGGTGGTAGTGGCCAAGTGTTCCCAGTCAAGAAGCAGAAAAGGGTCATCAGCTCATTCGTTAACTCAGGGCTGTACCCACAACCCTGACCAAGTTGAACGCCTGCATCAACATCTTTGGATAAAATTAAAATGTCACAGATGCAGAGCTGGCGGTGATGTTCCAAGAGGAGTGGAACTTTCACTTCTTTCTCTGTCGTTGCTACAAACACATGGGGTGGGATCTGCCCTTCCTTAGTACACTCTATGTTGATTTGTGGAACCATTTTGAGCAGATACTCAAACACACTGAGAAAGATAAGATAAGACAGATAAGATACATCTTTATTGTCCAGATCCTGACACATTGGTTTGGTGTTTCACCACGCACGCACACGCATGCACACACAGACACACACACATGAACACACACGAATATACGCACACCCATATAACACATATTTTTCCCTTATTCATCCTCTCTTCCACACACATCTGTGCACATAACCATCAGATTATAATAGTATGCTTGCACTCACAAACAGGCTCACAGTCGCACGCATAATAAAATGAACAGTACTATAAATTAAATATTAATAGTGTTAACCTAGGTACGTACTCAGTATTCTGATCATAACTCAACGGTATTCTGGTACATTCTTTAAAGGTCATGAATACTTTTATAGCTATACAAGATGATTAAGATGGAAGTAAGAGGTAGAAGTTTAAAGGATGATGGTAAAAATGCGGAGCAGATTTTGGGAAGTTCTCGCAACTGCGGAAAAACGCAGATCCGCGGAAAAGTGCGATACCTAGAAATGTTTTGGAAAGTTTCGATTTTATGTATTGGGTTCGGTTGGTCAGAAAATTCCCCATTCATGAAAAGGGAATTTTCTGACCAATTAGACTCAGTATGTAGAGAGACAATGAAAGGGTTTAAAAGAGTTTTCGCTTTAGATTCAGTAAGAATCTTACAGCATTTGCAACACAAATGGATCACATAAGTGCCAAAGATTAAAGGTGCTACTAGAAAATAACATAGAAAGAAAACAAAGGGAAGAGGTTAAGTAAAAGGAACAAACCACAGCAAAGCACCCACCAACCACCCCCGGGTTTAATCAAACTCACATCTTCTGTGTGTGACAGCTAAGTGTCTAACTGCTACACCACAGATGGCGGTGGCCCATGTGCAGGACTGTGTTTACTGGCAAAGTCAATTTTGGGCATGTGCAGTTGTTGGTGTCATCTTAAAGATTGCTCAATTGTCTATCTTTCAGTGAAAAAGTACCCATCTATCTTTAATAGAAGTCAAAATATTTGTGATTGAAGGAAGTAGGGTTCCTTGAATTCAGAGGTAAAATTAAATAAGCGAGAAAATGGCCGCCAAAGCTGGTATTTTTCAGTGCATGAGTGTCCATGAAAAATGAAAATTTACATTTTTTTTGTTCCTTTAATCAACGTTTTTGCGGATAATCCACACAGAAATGTGTTTTTAAATGGACATAAAAGTTGTTGAGCTAAAAAAAAAAAGAATTCTATAAAATTTGCCAAACAGGCAGAAAAATGCTAATATCTTCGATTTCATTATTTTGACGAGAGCCTGATTTCACCACGCTGCCTCACAGTTGCACTTACGTCACCATAGTTTACATCATTTAGAAGACGGGATGCTTCCCTCCCATGTGTCTGAGCCAACCCCAGCTGAGAAGGAAACAATGTCTTTTATTTTTGCAGGCATTGATAGGAAAGAAGGAGCACACCACCTAGGGCACCAACAGGGGCAAAGGTCAAAGGGAACCGGAGAACAGTCACAGTGAATGATGTACAGAAAAGCGGGAAGACGTAGAATGATATTAAGAGGCTATCCCTATATTTGGGTAAAAGTGGAAAGCGGTTTTTTTTTCTTTTAAGACCAATGCCTTCACCAAGGGTGAGACAGGCTGTGATGAAGACTTTACCTGTCCATGGGTTCCTGCCCAAGCAGTAGGACAACCACTCTAGACTTTTTCATCTCTTGAATCATGAGTTCCAGAACAGTCTTGCCATATTCTCCGCAACTCTGAGAAAACAAATTAAGTAGCAAAATGCAAAATTGATGATCATCCTTTTTTATATTTTCTCTCATCTGAAACTGCTAGGAGACGCCTGTGGCTAGGTGGTTTAATAATAAGCTCAGGTTCACAATATTGGCAAGCATAATAATCATACTGTACAGTGCAAGTGTAAGTGAAATCAGCCAGTCATGTACCAATTTTGCTGATTATGGGTTTTGAATACAATGTAAAAAATACATATAAGTATGCATAATAAGAAAAAATGTAGGACCATTGGAAACATGGAATTAAGTTATGAAGTACAAAATATACACAGAAATGGTGCGCTGTGCCAGAATTGCCATCTAAAACTTTCATTGAGCAGTGAAATGAAAGTTTGCATATGGAGTACATGTATTTTGAACCCCATTGTCAAAAAAAACCAAACCTACTATCGACCAACGATAGTCTTACAGTACAATTATCTTGTTGATAAAAACACACTTTAAAAAAACAGACCTAAACTAAACTCATTTCAGTATAAATAAAAAAAATGCTTCAAATATGTGCAAAAGAAGCAACTATATGTAGCAAGAAACAAATGGGGAAACGAGGAGGAGCAACAAAGAGAAGAGTAAAGGGGGAGTGGGGGTAGGGAAGGGGAGTATGGCTTGTGCTGCATTAAAAATAATTTGTGTCATGAAGCAATGGAATCGGGCGCTTGTCAATTTTTGGGCATATGGAGTTATTGGTATAATCTTAAAGTTAAAGCTTGTTCATTTGCCTTGCGTTTGAGGTTGGAGTCCCCTGGTGTCAGAGGTAAAATTAGAAAGAAAATGGCCGCCAAAATTTGGTAATTTCCAGAGCCTTAGTGTCCTCGGAAACTGCAAATCTACTTTTTTATGGGTGGTATGATCAATATTTTTCAGTAAACTTAACCCAGAAATGTGTTTTTTAAAGGACATAAAATCCACACAAAAAACCCCCAAATCAATAGAAAATTCTCAACGGCTCGAAAAATGTTGGTTTCTTTGATTTCATCATTTGGACGAGCGCCTGATTTCACCTTGATGCTTCACATTTTTATCACCTTACCTGCAAGTTTGTGCTTACTTCCAGGTCAAACAAGTCACACATAACAGTCTGAAGTTCTCTTGCAGCCTGAGACGCGTAAGACATTCCTTTTTTACCGTCATGTGACTCATCGTACACAATCAGCACATCTGGATGACTTCTGTTCCCGTACACAGAGGTGAATAAAGACTTGAAGATAGCAATAGCTTCACCAAATCTTCCTAACAGTTTGTCCTGAGCCACCAGCAACAGAACTCTGATACTCAGCTTTTTGAGGGGGTCTTTGCTCCACAAGTTATTCTCAAGAGCTGAACGGCGAGTTTGACACAGCCTAAGAAACACCATTGCCTCATCAAAGCTTTTAATTTTCAAATAACTTTCTAATCCAGCCACAATCACATTCTCATCGTCCAGTTCCTCCTCACTGTATTCCAACAGTTTCTTCACCACGTCAAGCATTTCCTCCCCGTACCTTTTCACCAACCTCATGAAGCCCAGCAATTTTCTGTCTGTCTCTAAACTGATTGCTTCATCACTGGATCCCACTTTGTCGCTATCATGCATTTGCCTAAAAAATGCCCAGATATCTTCTGACACTGATTTCATATCAGGGATGCCTTTAGCGATGTCAGCTGAAATACTTACAGCCTGCAAGAGCTTTTTTTTCGCTTCCTCTTTGTACTTTGAACGGGACTCACTGGATTCTTCTTTCTCACTCAAAATGAGAAGACACTTGGCCGCTTGCTCATATGCCAAAATGGCCGTGCCCTGGTAGCCGGAGTGAACATGTGATATTGTGATTTGATTAAACTGTTTCAGAGCTTCATCTGTGGCACCACAAGCTTTCAAGAGAAGTCCGTAGCCATGTTTCGCAGGAACATTTTCCCAATCAACAAGTTTCAGTGCTTTCTCATAACACTTTAATGCCTTGGCAACCATTTCTCCATCTTTGTCTAAATAAATTTCCTGCTCACTCAGTAGCTGTGCCCCGAACAAGCCAATCCGTTTATTTTGTTCGACTTTGGGAGATTTTCGAAACTGTTCATTGCACTGACCATAGGTTTCTAACAGTTTATCCTTTGCTTTTTTCTCATAACAAATTGCTAAATGGTGATATGCAGTTGAAGTTTTTCGAATCTTTAAAGACTCTTCTAATACATAAATCGCCCTGTCTGGGTCCGTAGACGATGTTGCTTTACCTAATGTGGTCAGTAGAAACACATCTCTACGTTTTTTGTTGCATTCTATAGCCATCTTCCAGGAGACAGTGTCTGTTGGGTTCATGGAGACCAACTCTGCGAAAGCACGCCCTTTAAGTGTACAATCCGAGCAACTTTCTGCTACATCAAGCAAGAGTTTTTTAGCTCCTTCAAGGTAGTCGAGCGGAGAACAGTCTCCAGGAAGTTCAGAGAAGATGTCTCCACTGGACGCTCTTCTCTTCACTGCACCAAGTTGATATTTCCATAAATGAATCTCAGGACTAGCCAAATGACTCTTAATGGCTTCTTCATACAGCTTTATGGACCTGGATAAATTAGAAACATAACCCAATCGAAAGAGCGCAAAACCTTGATCAGCTAAGGCTCGTCTTTTTAAAATTTGGTAACTATTTTGTGACTTCAACTTTTCGAGCCTCTCAATCACTTTCAGAGCAGCAATTTCATCACCTGACAGCAGCAATAAATACCCCTGATTTGCAATGGTGGAGACATTCTCCATTTCTTTCTCAAAAGAATCAAGAGCTTTTTTATTCCATTCTAATGCATAGTATGCATCATTCAATCGGTATTCAATCCACGAAATAAGATTCAATATCTGAACTCTCTCTTCATTTAAGTTATCATCTTCTAGTTCTTTGGGAAGCTTTCTCTTTAGAATATTCATTCTTTTGAGCGTGACCTCACGAGGATCGAGGTTAAAAGTACAAGGAAATGTACTCAGCCTGGAGAATTTGTCATTGGCAAGTTTCTGCTTTATGTCCATTGCTGCACCTCTGGATGAGAACTGAAAAAAAAGAAGAAGGCCTATGATTTAAATTTGTCGAGACTTTGAGAGGTCATTTGAGTTTCAATAGAAGCAGTTAAAAAAAGGTAAGGTTTAAAGTCCCAAACAACGCTATTAGGTTATTTGTAAGAGGCAGGACCTCGGTGTTTAACAAAGTCCCGAGTAAGTCTCTAAGATCTAGACAAAAGAAAAAGGAGTTTCAGCTGCAGTTGAGGAACAGTTAATTTCTAATTTTGCTGATCTTCATGGAGAAGACAAAATAAAAATTTACATTTTTTTGGTGTCTTTACTAAAAAATGTTTTTGAGTAGAATCCTCAAAGAAATGTGTTTTGGGAAGGACTTCCCGTAACGAGCTACCACTCCAACAAACACAATAATATAATGTCAATAGAGAATAGACTTAACCTTAATTCTGACCCAACCCTTCCCCTACCCCAAATCCTCTATTCTACTGTTTCATAGTGGTCGCTCGTTATGGAATTCTTCCCGTGTTTAAAAATGGACTTAAAAAGCCCCACAAAAAATGATAAAATTAATATAATGGCCAAACCGCCAGAAAATTGAGAGTTCTTAATGTCTTTGGTTTCATTAGATCTAGTTTGACGGACGCCAGATTTCACCCCACCAAAGTCTCAGATACAAAAAAAAACTAAACAGAGCAACCAAGTCCTCTCATCCCTAGAGATGGGGGCAGGGGAAGGCAGGGGAAGGCATGGAAGGTCCCAGAAGTTTAATGTTGTCAGCAATCAAGACGCAATATTAATGGTCTCTGCACCTTCTCCGCAGTCATAGGGCTCTCCGTTAAAAGCATGCTTAATACATGTAGGCCTATAAGTAGCTGGGTATTCCCTATGAACAGTCACATCTAGTACACTGCTGACAATGAACCTCTGCTTCCCAACCCACAAATACATGTCCCAACGCCAGTTCAAAGAAAGGTTGTCGATGGAGAGAGGAGAAAAGAAAAATGATAATAATAATGATAAAGATAATAATAATAAAATGTAACAAAGTAAAACAATAAAAACAAGAAATAGAAAGAGTAAGAAACATAGTAAAGTAAAGCCATGTGTCTCTTTTCGGGGTCACACCTTGACCCATTACTTTCCTCTTTTTCTTTTCCTATTCGAAGAGTACTAATCCCCCCCCACCACGAAGAGGTGGGTCTATTTGGGGGGGAAACTAAACAGTTTGACAGATGAAAACTCGAAACTCATGTAAAATGGATAAATGTAAACCTGTTAAACTTCATGAGGCCTACACTTGGGCATGAGCTGGGAGTGAAAGTAAAATAAATTATTAACAGGCCTACTGTAAATAAATCAAAAATGACTTTTAAAAACATCTATTAATTTAAGCATAGCAGCACATATAGTAGAAACAAACTCTACGTCCAAACTGGCTACTTTCTGTCTTTCACTGTAAGGTCTCAGCGAACTTAAATAGCCTTTCTAGTTCACCCAGTTTTAAGCAGCAATCTAACAGCGACATTTCATTGCCATTACATTCATTATTATTGTGTGAACTGGACAAGCTTGTACCGTGGTAACTATATAACATGCCCACTTACGGTAGCAGATGTGACACATCGTGCAGAAATCCGGGGCTCGTCAAAACAATGAAATTAACAAAACAGGCATAATTTTCTGTGCTTTTTCGGTAGCTCCCACCCCCTTTTAAATTGAGCCTAGATATACATCTAGATCTATACGTTTGATGTGCGGCGAGCTAAGATATCAAACCTAAGAACGGCAAAACATCAAATTAGGGTAAAATTCAGGGGGCATGCCCCTCTGAAACCGCTCCCACAATATTTTTATTAGGTCAGGCCCTGAAACTCCTGAAACCTCCCTACTCTTGGGGCCAAAACCGACGAATAACAATTGCAGGGTGGGAACAAGGAGCTTAGAACTAAGCCTACTGTAAACTCCTTGGGTGGGAACTACCGAAAAAGCGCCTAATTTTCTGCCAGCCTGGCAATTTTTATTGAATTTTTGTTTTTTGGCTTAACACCATATGTCCAATTAAGTACGGCTAGACAGCTGAGCTAGCCGTATTTATTTTTAATACGATGGCTAGACTAACCCCCCAAAAAAGTCATGTACTGAATTGTAAATGTTTTTAGTTTGCAGTAGATTCTACCTAAAGTATTTGTATTTGAGACGAAACCAGGGTGCCTTAATATGTATGTCAGTGCATGTATTTTAAACCTGAATAATTACTAATACCTGTTTTCTAATGTTAATAGGGCCTAAGATAAGCATGGCTAGACTGACAGGCTAGCGATAGACTTCTTGGCTAGCCGTACAGTACGGCTAGACGGCTAGGCTAGCCATACTTAAGGACTCAGGCTAGCCGTACTTATTATTGATGGCTGAATTGTAAATGAAATTTTTAGTTTGCAATGCCTAAAGTAGATCTATTTGTACTTCAGACAAAACCGAAATGTGGCTTACTGACTTGCAAGTATTTTAAACCTGAATAATTAACTAATCTAGGTTTAGATCTCTAGATCTAGATCTAGATCTAGATCTAGAACTAGAATCTAGATTCTAGATCTATGAGACCTGGGTACTCAACAGGAGTCGATAGGACCAAACCTAGATCTTCTAAAAGTATCTAATCTAGCCAAGTACGGCTAGCGCTAACCACTTCGTTTTACTTATGCACCCACACACAGATGCATTGATTTGAGGGCTAAACTGCCATGATTTTTGCTGTAGATCTATAACACATGTATGGCTACTAAAACCCTTGCAAATCAATTTCAATCCAACTTGCCAAAACATTAACGGATCATTGTGAAATGCAGGGGGCGCCCCCCTGAAACCCCCAAGATTCTTTATAGTATCTACTAGATCTAGACTCTATAGATCTATATATTAAACGTGAACATGAGACGGGTGCATGAGTAAAAAAAAAACTACCTTCTACCTAAGATCGAGTAGGCCTAGGTCTACCTATAGTACATGTGCTTCGACGGCTTCAAGTATGAATGCAGTTGAATGCATCAATGCAATGACATGGCGACGTACGTGCTCCTGTCCTGTTGTTACTAAATTTAGATCTAATTTCAGTTTCGAGGAAAACCGAAGTATCCCCAGATTTTTTTAACTTGTACGTGTATTTCATTTGTTTGGCTTTAAGGTCCCCTGTTAATGTTATTCCACAGAATTCTGTGTGTACTTTACTTTACTTTTTTCTTCCGCTTGTACCCTGGGGTGTCGCGGGGAGACACAGGTGTCTGTCTGCAGCAAGTCGTGTGGCCTGTAGGAGGGACATCCCATGATCTTTAAGGGTGTCTGCCACAGATTCACTCCATCGTCGCCTTGGTCTTCCTCTGGCTCTCCATCCAGAATATTTAATGTTGTATGCTCTCAGAGCTGGATGGTTTGAGGGCATCCGCGTGAGGTGTCCGAACCACTTGACCCTTTCTTTTTCGATGTGTGGTAGGACTGGTGTTGCTCCCACGGTGTCCCTAATGACTTCATTTTTAATTTGGTCTCTTCTTGTTTTGTTGACCGCTCTTCTTAAGCATTTCATCTCGCATGTGACCAGTTTCCTCTCTAGGGCTTTTGTTAGAGTCCATGTCTGGCACTGATATGTGAGCGTTGGAAGGAAAATGGCGTTGATGAGCTTCGCATTGGTGCTCATGGGGATATTGGGATGTTTCAGGAGAGGGCCCAGTTGGTAGCTGACTGCGTTGGCTCTCTGGCATCTAGTCTCTATCTCTCGATCTAATTTTCCATTTTCTGTGAAAATGCTGCCCAAATATTTGAATTCTCTGCTTTGTTTTAGTTGGGATCCATTGATGTTGATATCCACTTTACCTGGTCTCCTGTTAATTGTCATGACTTCGGTCTTGCTTATGCTGATCTTCATGTCATATTTTTCGCAGCTCGCATTTAGTTGGTTTATATGCTCCTGTAGCTGAGTCTTGTTGTTAATCATTGCCAGGTCACAGAATTCTGTGTGTTATTCCCATAAATGTACACGAGTCTAAAAAAGATAGCTATATTTTATGGTTATTCCAAAAATTATGCATAATGTAAATTTGCGAGGGCGGGCAAGAAAACGATATTGAAAGAGAAAATCAAACCTTTTTTGTTCTGTTTTTTAATTAAACTGAAGTACATTGGGCTAGGCATAGATTCTAGCTGTAATAAGTAACAATGATCATTATAATTTATAGTCCAGTGAATTCGTTGTCAGCTCCTCCATGCTACGCACGGCACGGTATTTTCTAATGTATATAGGGCCTATTATATTTAATATAACTCATTTGTATTTATTGCAGATAGATAGGCCTAGATATATAATAATATGTATTATAAGATTGATAGTTTTATATATATTGCGACGAAATGTATGTGACTGTGGCTCTTATTATTATTATCATTATTATTATTATCATAATTATTATTATTATTATTATTATTTTAAATTATTATTATCATTATTACTTAATCTGGTGACATCAGACAGTCACAAGTACAACAAGTTGAGTAGGAGCAGAGAGTATATTTTAGTGTCTCTGGTAGGAGCCAAGGAGATTAAAAGTAATGGAGGATGCTCTGTGGGCGGCACCGCACGCCTGATAGGAGCCCTCTCTCGCGGCGGAACCGTGGACTACCTGCGCTGCGCGATTGCCCGATTAAGGCACTGAAATCTAGATAAAAGAAAGAAGGTTTTATTCCGAGGTCCTTGAGATTAGGCAAGTCAATTAGTAAAAATTCCTTGCACCTGTGTTGTATTTAAGTGTAAGAACCGATATGATGCTGCAGTGGACCGAAGTTTTCACAGTTAAGTTGTTTCCCTTTAAAAAAATTTGAATGAAAGTGTTTCTATGCCCCCAGCAACACAATTTAAATCATTAATTCATAAGAGACTGGCCCCGGCGCTACATGCCAAGGCCAACCCAGGCTGAAAGGGATACAACACCCCAGCAGAAAGACTGGGATACTCAATTTTTTTAAAAAGTATTCTTATTCATAAATATATATAATTATTATGAGTATATACATAATTATTATGTGTGTGTATGTATATACATATTATACATTTTAATTAAAGATATTGCTTTCCTTTGTGTGTGCAAATTAGATGCTACTGTAGTCTAAATGTAGATATCTAGAGGCTCCATTAGAACATGAAATCAATATTCAACAACAATAATGATGAATATTTTCTATGTTAAAGAAACACCAAACCATATCAGATGAGGGGTGAAGGTAGGGTGGGGTGGATAAGAGTTTGAGTCTTGTTAGATAGAACTATACTCGGTTTAATTCTATTGTTGTAGTCTTCACCTAAGATCCCACAATCAATAATTCTGGTTCACTTAAGATTCTGCAGTTTAAAAAATAAACCAAACAAAGCAACAACAAATTTTACTACACAAGAGTCATCACTAAGATAAATTATCCCCCTCTGGAGTGTAATAAGGGACTAAAAACGCTGCTCTCCATGTCATACTTTACTGGAAACAAAAAAAAAACAACCCTTCAAAGGTTATCCACGCTTATGCATGCGATCACACCTCCAAGGGTGCTGTTATCTCTTTTTTTTTTTTTTGGTTGGAATATTTGAAATCATTGTGCGCTCCACTTTGTGAAAACCAGGAAACAAAATTATTGTGATCAATAATATTACTATAGACCAAGACATACTGTTAGCAATTAGATAAAGCAAACATCGACCCTCTTTTGTGTCCGCTATTCCTTACACATAAAGTTAGTTATGGCACACGCCTAGAATCATGCAATCATATATCTTAAATTCAGTTTAAAAGTATATTTTCATCCATTTCTTATAATTATATATTTTAGCATCTTGAAAGATTATCTTTTTAATTTGGTATGTTTGATAATTTTATGTTACTCGGACAAGTTTTCTTCTTATTTTACACATCTTTTTGATTTTTAAACTAGATTATAACATAAAACTCTTAAAGAATTGAACAGTCCGTTTCACACACATAATTTTTTCTCCCTGTCATTATCCGTCAGCCCGCCAGTTGATCACAATCTCTCTCTCTCTCTCTCTCTCTCTCTCTCTCTCTCTCTCTCTCTCTCTCTCTCTCTCTCTCTCTCTCTCTCTCTCTCTCTCTCTCTCTCTCTCTCTGTCTGTCTGTCTGTCAGTCTCTCACTCTCCCCCCTCTCTCTCTGTCTGTCTGTCTGTCTGTCTGTCTGTCTGTCTGTCTGTCTGTCTGTCTGTCTGTCTGTCTGTCTGTCTGTCTGTCTGTCTCTCTCTCTCTCTCTCTCTCTGTCTCTCTCTCTCTCTCTCTCTCTGTCTCTCTCTCTCTTATTTAATTTTTCCCATTCTCCTTCGTCCCTTCCCAAGGCCCGCCCCTCCTCTTTCATCCCAGCCCCATCCCCTCTTCCTTGCGTGCATTCCCCCACCCCGCCCACCCCCACAACGTGGCCCAGCCCGATAAAATTCTATAAAAAGAAACGCCACAGTTCGTGATTTAGCCCACACTCGGTGGCCATTTTTGATCCCCAACGCGGCGTACTGCTCGTGGCGCGGCGCCGCGAAGAGAGAGAGGAGGCTCCATTAGCTCTAAGCTCCTTGGTAGGAGCCAAGGAGTTTAGAACTACCTTTAATCTCCTTAGTAGGAGCCAAGACACATCAAGACTTGTTGGTTTAGTTTCTTATGGCCTTAGTCTTATTCCGTCTTGGGTCAGCAGTTTTGGAAGTGGAAGCTGAACTGCTGAACAAATCTGCACCAAGATTGTTAGGCCTATTCTATAATTTTGTTTAATTTAATATTGCATGTAGCCTATTAATTAGGTCTATTGTGTATTTAAAACCTCGCCAAAAAAATAAAAAATGTTTTAAGTTATTGCAGTAAGTTGCAAAAAAGATAAAATAGATAACTATCAAAATTGTTATAATGATATATATGTATTATTAGTAGGCCTATTGATATATATATTGATGTTTAGCCTATAAAAATATTTTTCAAGTCAAGCGGCGGCGAGGCCTAGGTCTCTATATTCTAGCACAAAAAATAGGCTACTATCGTTTCAGCATTTATCGTATCGAATTAGTTAACATAGGCAAACATCGTACACAATCATACTAGGCCTATATACGAGCTTGAAATAAAGTCTCTTTATTAAGATGCTCTGTTTTGTAATTAAAAGTCGAAGTACATGGCGCATTTCGAACCTGCATTTAATGCGGCAGATCTGGACCTGTTCAATTGATAGATGCTCAAGCTAGCAGGTCTCGTGAATGCGGTATAGATTTAATATAGCCCTTTACATCAGCTGTTGTTGTTTTTTTGTTGTGGTTTTTTTGTGGGTTTTTTTTTTTTGGGGGGGGGGGGGTAGGGGTTTAGACTGCCCTCCGAGATGTGACTCAAGGAGCTTACTTTTAATCTCCTTTATGTGACTTTACCGGGGTTAATTCTTGGTTGGTTTTTGTTTGGGTTTAAATTGTTTGTTGTTTGGAGTTTTTGTGGGGTCTTTTTTTTTTTGGGGGGGGGGGTGTTCTTGTTTGTTTGTTGTTGTTGGGTTGTTGTTTGTTGTTGTTGTTTGTTTTTTGGTGGGGGGTTGTTGTTTGTGTTTTTTTTTTTGGGGGGGGGGGTGTTCTTGTTTGTTTGTTGTTGTTGGGTTGTTGTTTGTTGTTGTTGTTGTTTGTTTTTTGGTGGGGGGTTGTTGTTGTTTTGTTTGTTTTTTTTGGGGGGGGGTTGGTTTAAAATAAAACCATTGTTTGGGCGTTTCTTTGATGGGAATGTTTTTTTTTCTTCCTACTTTTTAAAGCTTCCTCTTCGTATTTCAACCTTTACTTAAATATAATTCTGTCGGAATTTCATTTCAGACGTTTATTTGTGGTTGTTTCTTTGGGGTTGGGGGTGCCTTTTGTTTTGCTTCTATATTCTTTAAAAACGGGGTACATCATGTATTGATTTCCACAATCTTATCCATTCCCAAACAGTCATAGAGTTTAACTCATCGCTATCCTACCGGCTTCTGTGGTGTACAGAGTCATCGCACGCAGGTGACCCAAGTTCGATTCCCTTGTGGGGAGAATTGTTACCAAGTTTCTCAGTCTTTCTGCTGAGATAGTACAT